GAATAAATATAACATCTGTTGGGACTATCTTCAGCTGTGGTGCACCTGTGTAGACTTCAGCTGATTTGTTTGTTTTACACTGTGTTTTTAATAGTTTTTGATAACATTGAAAGTCTATGGAATAAGGTATATCAGGCTTTGGATTCACAGGCAGTACTTGTTAGATCAGTTCACTGTTAGTTTTCTTTAACAAGACAACTATAGAACATCACCAGACTCATTCTTTGACTCTTCTGGTTAAGAATGACAAGCAATATGGCATGACATTGAAATGAACAATTTGGTGAGGTGACTCTCAAGGCAGAAACAGTTGCATTAATACTGCTTTTGTATTTTAGCCATGGATTTTAATTATCTGGTCCTAAACAGTATGAACACCAAGCGTCTGAAAATTAAGATGTGTTGGGAACTGTGTTGCCACACACTTGTGAGCTGCATCTTTTCAGTCCTGGTCTTTGGGACCAAGTACGCTGCTGTCATGCTGACCTGGCAGATAGTGAAATCTCTGTAGCAGTCGCTCCCTGATTAGCTGGTTAGCATTAACATTGCAGGCCTCTGGGTCTGAGTAACAGTGACCTAACAGTGACCTACATCATAAATGTTTACAAATCTGTGTATTCTATGTAAAACAATCTTAAATGCAGGTTGAAGACGTCAGACAGCTGCACTAAAACCAGTCGTGGTGTGTTAGGCCTTAAAGAGAGGATGTGTTGCTGCTGCTTTTTGCCTAGGTAGACTTCACAGTTTGAGATGTTTGCCTACCCAAACCAATGCCCTCTGCAATGCACACGCACATGCACATATCACACTTGAAACTTCTCAGTATCCCAATTACTTGTCCTATACACAGCTAATAGTGAAACCACAGGGAAGCTCATTGTGTGTTCACATAAAAATTACTTATGAACTGATCAGTCAGTTAGTGTGAAACCCAATGGCCGTCTGCAGAACTGATCCCCCGCCCCCCCAGTGTGTACTACGAGAGTCATTATCTCGGGATTTTGCTCCTTTTCTTGTTACGTGTGAAGATTATGGGTGACTGTATTTTCAGAACTTTTTAGGGATATGATATGAATAAATATTAAAGAAATGACAGTAGTCAAATAAAATACTGAACAACAAATTTTCAGACTGATGGTCACTCACTCACCTCGAATTAGACAATGCTACTGTCAAGTTTTGGAGATTTTGCCTGAACTGGCATTACAGTTTTAACGACGGTGACATAAAATAGTTGCTGTTTCTGTGGTTTTATTACTTTGTATTCAGCTCTGTGAGGAGAATTTAAACACAGTGTTTTTGCTTTACCAAAACAAGCATCTGCCAATGACACAAATAAAATGAGCTTCTGTCAAGAAAAATGCATCATTATGTATTTATTATCTATTCTGTGTGTGTGTGTGTGTGTGTGTGTGTGTGTGTGTGTGTGTGTGTGTGTGTGTGGTAATAATTTGCTGATCAGAAGTGTGTTACTGGACTGATTTCATGTCAAGAAGTGTATTCTAGCTTTAGGGCTTACAGTATGTGTTTAAATAATTCATCAACAACAAAGAATGCTTGAGAAAACTGAACAAAGTACAGAGTTTATTTGGATTAATTTTACGACTGTGCAGGCCTTTGCTTACTGTTTTTATTTTATATTTGGCACAGTTTTAGAGCGGACTCTTATCTGTCAAGGTTGGTCAGGACTTCCTGTGCAATATGCTTTATGACTATCAATAATAAATCTGGAACCATTTGAGTTGGTAACATTTGTATCCATTTTAAATGTGTTATTCATTCAGTTTCTTTGTGGAGCTTGATGATGTCTGAAGCTGTATGCATTTGGCTGAACTGGCCGTGTCAGTCACTGCTGTTGTCGGCACCGTGTCGTACTTTGTCTGAAGGAGAGAAAGACCAGAGCTGTTCAGCTTTGAAGCATTTTACAGTTTATTGTTCAAATGCCATGCGTCTACTGTAACGCTTCTCACAGAAACATGCTACATAACAAGCTATCGGATTAATCCAAATCATGAACGCGAATGAACCAAACATCAGTATGACCATAAAGTATTCACCCCCTTGGAGGTTCTGATACAACAGGGAATCAAACAGCTGACCCTGAACAACAGGACAAAATTTGTGATACAAATTACACATTTAATATACCTTTTGTGGAAGTATTCCCAACACTTTGAAAGACGGACACAATTGGACTTACAGAAGTCAAAACATAAGGGCACACTGAAAAAACACTTCAGCCATTTGTCTAAATTGGATTTTTCTCATGAGTTTGTAAAAGCTGCTGCCGTTACTTTGAACTATGTTTTCCCCATTCGTTGTTGGACCGCAACAAAGCCAAATCTTAAAAAGCCAGATGTGTCCAGTTTGCACCTCTTTTATCTATGGAATGAAGTCTCCTCTTGGAGCTGCTGTATGTGGTACTTAATAGTCGCCAGGTCTTTTAACCCCCATCTCTGCTTCCTGCTGCAAACCAGCCACATCTACACCAGTCGACCTGTCTGATAGCCCTCACCGTCTACGTCGGTGGGTACTCTGAAGCCATGGTGCCACCCAACCCCCCCCATTGGCCCTCACACTACCTAATTGGATGTGTGCAGCTGCTTTGGGGAGGTCCCATCATTAGAAAGTGTCTAACCCTGAACCCCAGCTCCAATCTTTGTCTCTGCTACCAGTAGCAGCCTGGCAGTTTGTTCTTGTCTGTCACCAGCCCTGTGCTATAAAGCTAGCGTTATCTGCAGTGTTAAGTGCAGGCCACAGACGGAGGGTCAGCTTAAAGTGAGGCAGCAGAGACACCCTGTCCCGCCTGAGCCCACCGCACACAGGAAGCCAGGCTGCGCTGGGTCCCTCCTGTCTGTCTGGCCCCGGAGCCTGCCTCAGCCAGCAACGCAGGCGCTAATGCAGGGAGACATTCAGCCAAATTGCTCTCTAATTTCCCTTCAGGACCCAAACGATCCCACCGGCCCTTGAGAATCAGATTGAGGATTTGTTCAGTGTGATTTGTTTTGTCTTGTCTCCCCCCCCCCCGTCAATCCCTGTCCAATTACCTTGCTCAAGTTCGAGTTCTCTGCTTCCAGCATTGCTGAGGCCACTAAATTGGGGATTTGAGAAAAGAGGCATTAAAGGTGCACAAGCCCTCAGAGGATAGAAGCTGTCGCTGTATAACTTACACTCATGCAGAGATAATGGGAAAGTGGAGAAGCATCAAGTCACACAGGTTTCATAACAATGACAAACACTGAGAAACATTCATGTTTATTTTTCATGCCAGCATCACTCTGGCAAAAATAACTCCGCTAGATGAGTGGCATCCTTTTCATAGAATGCAAGGTTTCTAGTTTGACTTAGTCATGTTTGCTGATGCCTATAATCTATTCATCTGCTGCATGGAGCCTCTCAGCCTCAGTGCGTCACATTTGCAGACCTGTAGCATAATTCCCTTCCAGCAGGGGTTTAATTGAGTGACTACGACATGCACAGTTAAAGCCTTTTGAAGACAAACTGCCATAGCTGACTGCCTCCGACATCTGTTCGGAAATTAAACAATGATGCATCAGGTTTTCTGCTGTGCATTGAATGATAATGACATCGTAGTTTAACTCAGGAGTTGGGCTTTTTTAAATTTATTTATTTATTTTTGCTGTGAATGGTTATGCAGTGACAAAATGTACCAAAGGTGTGACTACTGCAGAATGAAAGTAGATTTAATTAAAAAAAAAATTTTTCACCACATAAATATTTGTCTTTTTATCCAGGCAACAGTAGAATAAGGAAGATAATACTTCAACTAAACAGAGGAGACAACATATCACTTAGATAAGGTCCATACACATGGTTAGTTCAAATATTTTCACCCTAATGTTCTGTTTGGGGCTGCTGAGACTAATGACCCTGTTTGTCAATTCAAAAAACATACTTAATACTGTTTTATCATTGTAACACTTTCCCTGATTTTAGGGACATCTGTTGATTTAGCTGTTTTTGGTTTTCTTCACGTACAGCAGTAAGTTTACTCATGTATTGCACTTACAGTAAGTAAAATTTGGAGGTACGCTTACATCTACTCCACTAAAGTTCATAATAAAATACAATTTTTACTGCATTTACTTGACAATATTAGTAAAAAAAAAATCTTGACTTGATTAGTTACTTCTCCCTTTAGGATTTTATATATCATTTATAAAATACAACACACTGTTAAAAATTACACCAGTGGTTCCCAACTTTTTTTATCTTGTGATCCCATAAAGAAACTAGTCTCCAGTGGTGGCTCCATGTCATGTTTAAGATGGCTATGACTTGTTGTTGACCTGTTAGCACTAAAGACACATCTGGGCGGTTTCATTTAAGTAGCAATTCAAATGATCAATTATTTCACAAGAAAAAAAAAAAGAAAAGTTAAAAGAAACATAAACAGAACTGGAATTCAGAACCTGTTTTCCCTCTCCCATTAATCATTAGCCCTCGGATTTATCTTGTGACCCTGTGAAGGGGCCCAACCCCTATCTTGCACACCAGTGAAGTAAACTAACTGTATACTGTAGTTAAAGCTGGCTTCACTTTGATACTGCTACACTTCGATGCACCAGTATTAGTGTAGATGATGATAATATATAAGTCACAAGGGCTACTTGAATGCAAAATTAACACTTTTTATAAGTACATTTAGCTGATAATACATCTGTTTATATAAGGAAAAGTTTAAATGCAGAGCTTTTACTTGTAATGGAGTATTTTACAATGTGATACTGGTACTGTTAACAAAACACATCAGTGTTTTAAAAATGTTGAACTGTTATTAAAGTGAGAAAATCATTTTAAAACATGGACTGTTCCCTCTCTGTCAGGACGTGTTTGTGGGCAGTAAGTTTTTTAATCAAAGCTGTTTCAGAAAGAATTATCAGCAGGCACGCACGAGTTTACGCTTTGTCATATCTGTGGTGTTTATCTGGACAACTCCAGGTGGTGCTAATATGGTTTTGTCAGTAAGAAACACTGAAGACATTTTCTGAATATTGGTGCCAAATGCTGTTGATTGACCACAAAAGGAACAATCTTTTGTTATAGAATTTACACAACATTTGTGCAGTTTACGGGCCAGTGTCTGCAGATGGTTGACGTTCGCTATTTACGCACGCTGAAACATCACATTCTGTTCTTCGTCCAGTCTAATGGGTTCTTTTTAGGGCTCCGTTCAGTAAATATAACCCGCCTCGATGGTTTGTCATCCCATCCCAACAAGTAACATCATCCCATTTTGCTTTTTTCTTGCCCACCGGCTGAGCTGGATGAGAGGTGTCGGGTTTGGGCTATAAAAGGAGGGACGCACACAAGAGCATGACACTCATCATCCAGACCAGAGTCTGCAAAGGTAGGAGATGTAGCGCGTTATCTTTGGCCAACATACTTTGTCATCACAGTGAAATTATTTTCACTAGGCCAGGTTAAAATTATGTGTTTTTACTACAGGTGTGATTTAAAAAAAAAAAAACGGAATATTGCATTGCTTTTTTTTAGACTTACAGCGTGCATTCTGAGACCTGTCATAATAAGTGTATGTTTTACCTTAGGTTGCCACTTCGGCGTCAAAAATGACTATATGGTGCAACTCCTGCAAACGTTATGTAAGCGCTCCGTGCACTTCTCAACATCTGCCTGAGGATCACCGCCGCTCATTCTGCAGAAGGTTCAGGTCAGTGAAACCCCTCTACTCCTCTGCTCCACGTCCTCTAGTGGCTGAATCAACAAATGGCTGTTGAGAAAAATTAGACGAGACTCTGCTGTGTGCAGTGCATGCGCCACAGGCTGCACTTAATCCACTTTTCTCCAGTCTGCGGCGAAACTCTACTGTAGCCACATGGATGCTGTTACTCCCTTCAAGCTACTCAGACCAGCCTCTGAACAGACTGGTCAGAAATGAAAGTGTGTCAGGATGCTCTGGTGCAGAAGCAGCCTACACATCATAGATCTCAACAATTCCCTTTGATGGATAAAAAAACAAGACCACTGGCAAGTGATGTGAATGATTTATAATATGTTAATTCACAGGCAGATGTAAACCTCTGGTCTGATATTTGTGTATCCTAAAAGTAATAATAATATTAACATACTGAGATACAAAGTGGTATAATCTTCCTTTTGTGGCACTTTCTGTGTCCTTGTGGCATGAGGTGCCTGCTCCTTAGCCACCCACTTTATAAGGTAATGAAGGGAGCAGCTGAAGCCCAGCCTCCCTTTTGTGTGCGACACCCACGCTTAAGCCCTGGCAGCTATAAAACCCCCAGGCTCTCTGTTGATGGGCACAGGCAGATACAGTTAGTGCACAGATCACAAAGCCTTACTGAGAGCCCTCATTTCTGCTGCAGACAGGATAACCTCTCATATCAGCAGTTTCCATAGGAACCCTTTATATTCAAAGTCCGCTTCAGCTCACTGAGAAGAGACACCAGGCTGAATAGTGAATTAGAGGCTAGACCGCTTCAAGCCATTTACTCTTTTTGTCTTTAGTTGATTTTTTTCCCCACACTTACTACATGGAGAAGAATGACTTGAGACTGATGTTTTTTTAAATCAGAGTAGTGACAACTCTGGGTCACTAGATTTAGTTTCTTCCACTGTCTTCTAATCTCTCAGTGACCATGGTCTCTCACAGATCTACTAAAGGAGCATCCAAAGCCCGACGGGACCACATCAATCATGAGATCAGAAATATGCGGGCTCTATTGCCCATCATTCAGGAGGACCAGGAGCGTCTCTCCTACCTCCACTCCATGGCTGCCATCTGCACCTACATCAGGAAGTCTGTTCTCTTCCAGGGTAAGTCTGCAAATTTCATTTACAGTCACTCTTTCATTTCTATGAGCATCTAATTTATATTCCGCATGCATCCCAGTCTAACAAAGTAATGCTACATTTAGTGCTTTAGGGAATATATCAAAGCTAGCAGATGTCACAAACTGCAGAGATGCGTATGGTGTAGCCAAGACTAAATTCAGTCTTTCTTTTGTAAGGACTTGAAGCTGGGGAGAGATTACACTGTTCTCTGCCATACGAGGCCTTTCTTCAAGCCCTGCACGGCTTCATCCTGGTCACGACCACCCATGGGAGGCTGGTCTATGTGTCCGAAAATGTAGCTGAATATCTTGGTATTTCCATGGTGAGTGTGTGGCTTTAAAACACCCTTGGCGCTGTAGCACTTATGTTGTGCATCTCTTTTGCACTCTGGGCTTTAATCTGTTGGATCTAATGATAAAACCTGTAACTTTTCCAGATAGATGTACTTCAAGGAGACACTTTCTATGACATGGTGGAACACTCTGACATAGACATTGTTAAATCAAACTTGGACACTGAAAACAACTCATCATCAGGTAACAATAAAAGGCTTGGCTGTCACTTTAAAATTGTACTTTAAACTATGATTGCTGTGTGTAACACAGCTAGAACCATGAGGCTGAGAAATCTTATGCTGCAGAATGTCTTAGTGCTCTAAGTTTATGACACATTTCTCCCAGACACTTGACTTCTTTTGTGTCCTCTTTCTATTATGTGCCATAAATCAGTTCAGTTTCTCTTAAATCTGAACCTGCAGGCCCATAATGTAAAATACAATGAAAAGGCTGCAGAGCATAAAATGCTGTAAAAAGCACTTTTGATATACAGTATTAATAAGTAATTTAGTTCACAGTAAAGTTTCCAAAAGTCACTGTTCTGTTCTCTTTGCTCTCTTCAGAAAGGAGCTTTATATGTTGTATGCAAACCTCCAAGGCCTTCAAACTGCAGCATGGCAGCTGCTGCTCCATGTTAGTCAGAGGAAGCTTCCAGTCCTTCCCTCAGCCCTGTCCGTCCTCCTCTGCAACCAGCGCCACCACAGAGCCTCTGTTTGTGGCCCTCTGCACCCCCACAGTGAACCGCCTGAGAGGCTCTGACTCCAGCATCTGTCACCGTTTCAACAGCATCCACAGACTGGATATGACCTTCACTCAGCTGTCAGACAGGTAAATTCAGAACTCCCCCTTTAAAAAGATAAAATCAAAATCTTCTTGTACTGTCACTGACAAACATTTATATGTTTGTTTTTTTTTACAGTGTTTTATATCTTTTGGGGTATTCAGCAGATGAAATGACTGGTCAGTCATGGTACAGTCTTGTCCATCCTGAAGACCTTTCAATAAGTGCAGATTCTCATAGACGTTTAAGTAAGTGTACGATCTACTGCAGGAAAACTTGTACTGAGTACTCGGACAACAGCCTGTGGCCATGGCAAACAAGTTAAAGTCCCCTAAAAAACAAATAAAGAACTCTTCAACTTGCCAGTTGGTGCAGTGAATGTCCTCCATCATCATTATAATTTTATTCATACCACAGCCTTGACTTGAACTTTCAGTTACTGATGCCTCTGAGAACAAAATAGACCGGTTAAAATATTTGTGTTAATTTTTCAGGCTTATTTGAAGACATTTATGTGTGTAGCACTGTTTTCATGTGAGTTTGCATGATAATAACTGCAAGTGTTTCCTCTCTGTCTGTTGCAGTGCAGGCAGATGAGGGCTTCCAGGTAGAGATGGTACTGAGACTCCAGTGCAAGGATCTGTCCTGGACCTGGATTTACATTCAGGCTAACAAGGACTCTGAGTGTCAGGGCATCAGCTGCACTAACTACTTCATCAGG